TGTGTGTATATGGCCTTCACAACGAATTATGGTCGTCAGAAGATGTACAGTGCTTTGATCATCCCAGACGAGCGTGGACCAACTGAACGACCTCGAAGTATTGGGAGGTTCAGTGCTCGGAGTAGTACCGATCCGGGATATGATTCTTGACCGGTGCCCACTTGGCAATAAACGACTTAACTCCTGGATATTGAGAGCATCCAGATATTTCTAATTGGATTAAATCAAACTGATTGAACTGGAACTGATCGTCGTCTGTGGAATCACGAACTCGTTACTTGTATATTGTGATAGCTACCGTAGGAAATATTAAGAGGGCTGCAAAAGGGTATCGTTTACTAATTCAATTCTCTACTCTGTTCTACATATACCGGTTCTAAACGAATGTATAACCCGAGTAATGGACTAGTACCGACCTTCAAGTGATCGAGGATAATTCGTAGAGAACGAAACCTTTCTTTTCTCAACGAAAAAGGGTTCAAGAACGTCCTCGTTTTCAGTAGGGATGGCCTTAAGAGATGTAAACAAATGCTGTAATATTTGTTGCAGATCTCTGCCATCAATAAACTTCCCACTCTAATGTCCTCAATGATTTTCTTTCTTCAAGGGCACGCCTTAAATCAACAACAAATCATTCAAACCCATTTTCATTGACTTTTTTTGTCCATTCGAAGAGATTTACAAGGCCATCAAATGGCAGCAATTCTGAAGTTGCGCCTCTCAATAGAGATATTTACTGAATTCTCAAGGCGGAAATGGTATGGACGTGGCGTACTGCACACATGCAAATGCAGATGGATCCCAGATCGATACTCGCCCAAGCCAACCAAACCATCCATACCTCCAAAGTCGGTTCTTGGAATCGACTTCGTTTGAGAGATCCAAAGTACCAACCGAATTCTACAACTTCTAGACACATAGGTCACTGTTTAGGCTTCATAAGCATTCAATCCATCACTATGATACTGAGTGAGAGTCGAATGCAAGGCGCATCCCCAAAACGGGATTGGTTGACGGCAACCTTTTGACCATCGGATTATCATCCTGTTTTAGTTCGTGAGTATACTTTCTGCTAAACAGAATGGAAATAGTGAAAAATTTAAGCTCATAAGATGATATCCCAAGACCTTAATCGAGCAATTAGTGAACGGAACATTCCTTACTTAATGCAGAGTGAACTGTGCTTTCAACGAGAACCAAGAATCGTCCCAGACACTGATTGCGCATCTATCTTAAGCGACCGTCAGAAATCGATCATTTTCCATTTAGCCTTCTAGATACCGTACCATAAGGCGGCCCAAAAAGTCAATAGTAACCGGTCGATTTTTCAAAACCCTATAAGTGGGGTATGGATGCTTCTGAACAAATTCAGAGGCTTCTGATTACTGTTTCTGCGACTACCAAACTTGGCCCAGAAATTCAGACACTAGTGAAGTAAAANAGACACTGATTGCGCATCTATCTTAAGCGACCGTCAGAAATCGATCATTTTCCATTTAGCCTTCTAGATACCGTACCATAAGGCGACCCAAAAAGTCAATAAGTAACCGGTCGATTTTTTAAAACCCTATAAGTAGGGTATGGATGCTTCTAAACAAATTCAGAGGCTTCTGATTACTGTTTCTGCGACTACCAAACTTGGCCCAGAAATTCAGACACTAGTGAAGAAAAAGCATCGTCACCTCTCCATAGATTGGAACAGGTTCTTGAAGGCTCTAAAGAACCTGCAATTTGCCTGCCCCGCTATTGGCAGTGAGTTGTTTTGTTTATTCTTCATAACTTGAGAAAATTGACAACCAGTAACTACAGAATGAACATCGTACAACAATGACGAGGACAATAAAATTGACATCACTTGATCGAGTAAAAGAAGAAGCACTTGACGAAAGAAGTGAGTGTGCCATCAGCGTATCTCAAAGAACTCGTTCTATGAAAAACGCTTCAGGCAGGGAACAACGAAAATTTCTCATGCCATCGGTTGGTGACAGAAGCAGTAAATCGAAAAAGGGAAACTGGTTTGTAACGAACGTCATCCCTTGTTGTTGATGAGCCAGAAAAAATGAATGTGATAATGTAATGGGAAATGGGGATATATTACGGTCATTACAAACCCACCGTTACTTCAAATGGATCCAATTACATTATTAACACAGAATCACATTTTGAAGTTGGGTTTTATGATGTATGTTTCACGCTTCCTCTCCACAGGTCATTCTCGAAGACAAAAAATGAGAAAAAAAAGATTCTCAGTTTAATGGCACAGTTCACGATAATTCAATGGGCGAGGACGTCAATAGCCTTCCCGCCTCTCCATCGATGTCACGTCAGACGTCAGAGACGAGCGTCAAGAAAATACAGATCGCAAATTTTCGTTCTAGGACCCGCACACAATCAGCTGTCGCCTATGTTGTGATGAGGCGATGTTTTCTCCCATTCTCTTTTCCTCTGCTGTTCTTCTTGCTGCCGCGATCCCTTATTTAATTTCCTACTCCTAAAGGCTGAAAAAGGTGAGCTACTTTTGTTGTTATTAGGGTTTTTTGTTTACTTATGCTTATAAGAAGGGCGGAGGTGGTGTAGTGGTAAGTGGCGCACTATATCACACGCACGGTCAGGGGTTCGAATCCCGGATCGATGCCCGCCTAGGCCAAGCAAGCCTTCCATCCCTCCGGGGTCGGTGAATTGGTACCAGACTCGTCTGGGAGGATAAAAGCACTGACTTGTACATCGGCTGGCCACCGCAAGTCATTGTATAGGCCACATACGCACTCATTACGCCACTACGATTCTGAATGGAAGTCGAGTGCGGGGGCGCATCCCTCAGACGGGACTGATTAACGCCAAAAACTTTATCCTTTTTATGCTTATAAGTGAATGAAGTGCTGCTTATCATTGTCTTTCATTCGCACCAGGACCCACACAAACGCAGTGAGACACATTGTATAGCTCGCCCACTCTTCTTCGATTTTTAAACTCATCCTCGTCCAGCCCCCTATTTAACGGTTTTTCGAAGCCTTTTCAGTTTGGAAACACCGATTCATGCAGTTTCTCCACCTTCATTGCACTATTTTCGATCTTGTCGTCCATTTTTCATCATAATCTGATTACCCAAAATTATCGTGAACCGTGCCTTTAATCCTTTCCCCTGTTCCCCCTTACCACTACCCACTTTACGACTTTTTTTGGTCCAGTTGATCAGGCAAGAAAAGGGCAATTTTTTAACATTAAGCTCCTTTGTGTAAGATTCCGCGAAACACAGCTCATCCTCCATCCCTCTTTGCGTCAGCTCTCTCCCTTTCGACTTCCTACTGATCCATTAAAGGTTGTGCCTAGGCTCTACCTGACCCATTCATGACTGTCCTGCGCTGCGGGGAGACACAAACCCTTTCTTACTCCGTGCACCCCAAACATCGCTTCAGCACTTGCCAAGTTTGACTCTAGTTTGTGCATCCGGTAGACCTACAAGCATTGGGTAACTCGTTTCCCGACTGAATTAACAAACACGAGACGTGCGTTCAGAAAAGGGATGATTTCAGTAGCACAATCATTCTTATCAATTAGGAAGGCAAAATACAACAATTTAGGACTTCGATTTAGAAAAGGCCAAGTCGATTACAAAAAAATATATCTTCAGACATTTGATTTACATTTGTAGTAATGAGTAATATCAGAATACCGGCATATGAGTACTACCTAAGTACTAAGAAAAGTTACCTAGGTGGGAAGAATCGACAGGAACTTCAACTTATCGATGTCAAATCGTTGTCGGACATTTCCCATCCTCTTCCGTGAGTTTCCGCAAAAGCTTGAGCTCAGCCTCGTCTTGTTTATCGATGGCTTCTAATAGTATATCTGATGCAAGAAGTTTTGATGGCCATACGATTTTCAGAAGATCTCGACGACTTATTTGTGAAAGAATTAGATGTTTCATAAGCACCTCCACAGCGGCTATCTGAAAAGGAAAAGGTTCCGACAGAAAAAATGTTACCGATCGAACTTATTCAATGAATTACCCGCATATCTGGATGTGCCTTCACCCAATTCTGTATTGCACAGAAAATATTGATCTCAGGAGCCACAAATGAGTCACGGGATACTAGTTGGGTTACTTCGGCGATAGACAGCTGTAGGAACCCCTGAAAGATGAAAACTATGAATTGAGAAGTGGAAATCCTCTGATACACTGGTCGGTGCTCATGGAAGCATTCTGCAGTTAGGATGTTACGTAAAAGCGAAAGGCATATTGGCTCTCTGCCAACACCTGGTCAGAGCTTTCACCCTCCCAGATGAGTCCGGTACCAATTAACCGAACCCGGAATAATGTAAGGCTTGGGTGGTCCAAGCAGGTACCCTTCCGGGACTCGAACCCGTGACCGCGCGCGTGGGACCCTGCCCACTTGGCACTATACCATTTGCCAAACAGTACCCTTTTAATCAGCTTGCTGCTCAGCTTCTGACGCAAAGAAACAGATCTCATCTCTGGAGATTATGAACTACTTGTACCTGCGTGAGTAGCACTTCAGGAGCGTTCTGATCCGCAAAGCAAAGGCAGCTTTCTTTCAGGCTCGTGAGGCAATACAACTGAGCAGTGCTAAAGACCGTGCAGACGTTCTTGCAACTCAGGGTTCTCTGAAATTTTTAAATGATTAGTTTTTTTTAAATCACATAGGAAGACACTTAGACTCAGCTAGTTGTCGTGGCACTCTGCCCATGCCCACAGTAAACCTAAATAAATAAAAATACTCAGCATGGGAAATTTAAGATAACCTTGAAATGTTCAGCGATTGCGTTTTGGAGTTTAATTACGCAATACTGATGAGCGATGCCAAGAATCTCCAACAGCTGATCATCCTCGTACTCACCCAAAGAAAGCTTAGCCGTATAGAGATACCTAGAACAATGATGGAAAACAAATCGGTTTTCATAGGAAGAAAAACAAAACTCTAAAGAGTAATCAGATGGTAACCTCAAAAGAATGCGAAATGCAAAGATGTTGGTTTGATTCAGCACGACTTCGCCTTCCCNTCAGCGATTGCGTTTTGGAGTTTAATTACGCAATACTGATGAGCGATGCCAAGAATCTCCAACAGCTGCTCTTCCTCGTACTCACCCAAAGAAAGCTTAGCCGTATAGAGATACCTAGAACAATGATGGATAACAAATCAGTTTTCATAAGAGAAAAACAAAACTCTAAAGAGTAATCAGATGGTAACCTCAAAAGAATGCGAAATGCAAAGATGTTGGTTTGATTCAGCACGACTTCGCCTTCCCCACTCTCTTTCAATCCGCCATAAAGCAAACCTCTAAAAAACCTGTGTAGACGAGATCCCTTCATGAAACAAATCAAAATTGCTCTCCCCTGAAGTATTCGCTACGAGCAGCTAGAAGAGCTTTGTTGGCAGGAATTTTTTCTCCATTGACTACCAGAATGATATCGGAGAAATTTGGATTAGACAGTAGTGCTCCTATGTCGTCCGACAGAGTGTCAGTATGATTGATATCGCTGGAGATAGAATCTGAGATGAAAACGTATTAAGCTATGATTTTGATCCAATTAGTCCAAGTATAATCAGAGGTAAAATTCTATGGAGAATGAGATTAAGCTGAGGAAATCTCTTTAAAGATACTTCTCCCAATAAGAAACCCGCAGTAGGTGCTTTCAGAGTAGAGAGATTAGCGCGAAGCGTCGAGCGCGCGTCTGTGCTGCCGCTGACTGTGTTTGCGTTCAAGCATATTATTTTCCGAGCATAGATGGCGGAACTCTTTCACATGACATACTTTCCTCACATGACATCATTGTGGTCAAAGAAGGGCAACATCGAATTTTTTTCCAGACCAAAAATCGAGAAAAAAAAACTATTAGAAAAAGTAAAAACTGAAAAATTGTTCGCTAGCGATCAGATAAGTGCGGTATCGATCGACGGCCGGCGTTGTCAAAAGAGCGCGCGCTCAACGCCCAACGCATTACTTTGAAACATACTTAGCCACAAAACACAATTGGGATCTGACCCCCGAACCACGACACGAGAACAATTTTGACAGTTGCGATTTGTTTATAGTTAAGGATGAAACTCCATTTCAAGAGATTTGTTTCAGAAGGAACTTTTTTCAAAGTCAAGCCTTGCCATGAGCTATGAGACGCAATAAACAGATTGAAAAAAAACCTTTGTTCCGACCATTTTCTTCCACCTTCACGGTCTCTCCTAAAGAGCCTTCGGTACAGCTCATATCTGAAAAAGACCATACTAGAAACACAACTAGGAATTCCCATAATAAACACCAGCCAATGATACACAATGGAGTTCGTTGGCAAAAACGACAAGCAACTAGGGAACCTGAAAATCACAAGTCTTAGAAGTTGCTAGAAACTCGATCATTAAAGACTAAAACTGAATAAGATTGACAAGAGATGCGTCAACACAGAGTATTCATAGTCGACGATGAGCAAACGTTCACAGCTGACAGCGGTCGCTTTTGCCGCGACGCATAAGTCACGCGTGTCGAGATCAATATCGCTGCACTATGCCAGCTTTCTGTTGCACGTGGTTGCAATTCTGCGCAACGACCAATCAACTCACTGTTTAATCTAGCAGAAACGGGAACGGTGTTGCTCATCTGGGACGCTTTCTTGTGGTTAGGTGTAGGCTGAGGGGTATTGCCGAAAACCCAGGGCTCGTAGGCACTTCTCCCCCAATTTGTTTGAATGAAGCTCCAGCAATGCTCTGGTGGATATTAGAGGAATGGAAATACGCTCACACCCTTCTCCTCGCAACACCCCCACTGGATATACCGTGAGAGTTCGCGCGAGATTGCGAAATGGCGCGTCTACCCCTTCTATCGGCGACGCCAGGGTTTCAGTGAGAGAGGGAAAGTTTCGCAATAATTTTCGGCAAACGAATAGGGTAAGTGACACAGGTGCTGGAAGCTTTGGCAGTACTGAAATTGGAAGAGTAGGAGTGTAGTAAATTGGGGCCCTTTCAGACCAGCACCTGGCGATAGTCCTCCTGTCTTGGGGTAGTGAATCGGTGGCAAAGAAAGTGGGAAACTTTGGACGAGCTTACAGCTGTTGAAGTTATGCAAAGAGCTGACTAAATCAAGCCAAAATTGTCCAAATTTGCCTTCCTCTGCTGCCACGGGTCATGACAAGTTTGAATTTCCTGCATGCTTCCCTTGTGAATGGTGCAGTTTCTACAGCTCGTTGAAGCTCGTCCGCTATGGGCGGGGCATTCAACCGATGCAACCTTTCAGCCTAATACCACCCTATCTGGGCAATTTTCCGATATGACGGCGCCACATATGGTATATGAGTGGGCCACAGATTTATACAGTGATACGTCACAGGCCATTTTCATAGTGAGCTGGGCCTTTAACGGGGGAAAGTACAGGATTTTATGGGCATCTGTCAATGGAGATCTCAATGTACAAACAGATAATATTCCTAATTACATTTACATTTGAACTCGGCTGCTTTTATAACCACTTACGAAGCTTTTTTCCTTTGATGTTTGTTTTAAATCCGCTAGAAAAGAACTAATAAGCAAGAAAAAGTTGATGTAAACAAGCACGGGTGCGATCTCCGGTGAAAATGAAAACGGGCCTATCTAAAAGATTCGAGAAGGTCTGATACCAAAATCCTGAAGGAGAAATCGCATTCAAGTCGAAACGAATGAACATGAAAATGCTGACTCAGCTACAACGTCGGGGTTTTGAAAACATAGTTCTATCGATTGAATAGCTTCAGATGCTCAAGGACAAATAAGTAGCAACAAACCGGTAACATAATTACAAAAATAGTCGCATCTTGCACCACGATATGGCCATGCAACGATTCTCGAACGGTCTAAGTACCTTCCCATAGTCAGTACATTTTCTGCAAGCAGTATCGATTACCGCACGTGTGGCTTATGCGTCGCGGCAGGGAAGGGAGCGAGTTGTTGTCGCCGCATCGTTGAATCGCACACTATGTTTGTCGTTTTTTGGAAATTTCAAGATTTAAAGAACCAGAAGTCAACGTCGAGCGCTTCCCTTCGCTACTAGCTTCTTCAAGTCCTCCGTATGCCTTGAATACAAGTGCCCCAACAAGTTCTTCTACTTCTCCTCCTATTAGGGTAGAACGACTGATCAAGAAAGATGCCGACCGATTAAACGTTCCTGAGTTTTGCAAGAAATCAAATCAATGAGCAGATAAAAATTTATTTTGCTCACTAATTTCATAGATTTGTTGGACATGGTGGGGTAGTGGGAAGCGCCCTATATCAATGTATGGTTTGGGGTCAAATCCCGGGCCGATATCCGTCATACAACAAAACCCTTTCACCTTCCAAGAACGGATTAAAGGTGGATGGTGGAGTCTCGTTTGGGAGGGCAAGTGTATTGACACCGACTGCGCATTAAAACTCCAACACGACCCCGAAAGAAGTCAAATGCATGGCTTATACTGAAATCAAAATGTTTCTGTTTTTTCAATGTTATGCCAAAAATTTATGCAACATATTCATACGTACACAACTTCATATGCATGGCTTATTTTCAAAGGGGACCAAATGGGATCATAGGCTTCCATTTCTGACGTACGAAAATGGGTTTCCCCCGCAAGTCGCACAGCTCGAAACGATTCCCGTTGTTTTTTACGCCTTTTTCTTGTTCTTTGATAACGTCCAGTATGGTATCTGCTTTGAGAAGGCCTGATTCTCGCACTTCCTCCAGAAGCTCTTGACGGCTAATGCTTGATAGTGGTACACAGCTCTTGACCAACTGTTCAGTATTTATCTGAAAGAAAAAAAAATCGAAAAAAAAGATCACATTCACAAGTCACCCATTTGTTACCTTCAAATCTTTGTGCGCCATTATCCATTTTCGAACCGCACGGAATACTGTAATGGCACAATCATGGAATCTGTACTGGGATAACAGTAGTGATACCCCGCCGGCTGGTAATTGAAGGAATCCCTGAAATAGATCACTGGGGAGTCAGAATTTCCATTGAAGAGATACGGTGGTACAGCAAAAACGAGATCGTCGCGTCGCGGCGAGTGGGACGCCGCGCGCGGAGGATTATGGCAGAATTCAGCGGCAGGTGAGAAATACAGGAACAAAGGAACTAACACCAGAATCGTGACCAAAATAAGGATCGCATATCGATTGAGCTGTATGAAGAAGGCTAGAGCTGTAATAACGGTGAACGAACGGTTCGCGACAGCCGCGGTAATCTGCTCGTCTCCTGAAAAGCCCAGGCAGGCGGCAGCGGCTTACCGTACCTCTTCAATGGAGGTTCAAAATTAATTTCTTATTCTTTCAATAAACACATTCTCAAAGGGAAAATCCATGTTTGGGAAGTACACTGTCATCTTGAACATCAAAATGTCCCAAGTAGGTCTAGTTTCAAGAAACTCCTCCTAGTTTTCTAGTGAAGACCCCTTCATACCAATACTGCCCCAGGTGGAACAAATACCGAGTGGTGATTCTGTGGGTCGTTAGGAGAAGGTTCGACTCGAAAAACTATTAAAATGTGATAATGAAATAATCTTTGTACCTGTGAGTCCAATACTTGTTGCGTATTCCGTTCCGTAAATAGAATACAATCCACTGTGAGGCTAGACAGCGGATATAAGCGAGTAAAGTTTAGGATTTCGCAGACATTGTTGCTATCCAATATTGTCTACAACATGATGAAATGTTGAAAGTTGAAATGCGAGGTGGCCTTCTCAAAACAAGTCTGACTGGAGTAGATGGCGACACTTCTTTGCCATAGTCGCACCTGACCTCTTTAACCCCAGGATATGTTCAGACTCGGCCGTAGTACCTAACACTGAGGNCTGATCGCTAGTATCTAGCCCCCTTGAATAGCAAAGCCTGATTCTCCTACTGAAAAATGAAAAATCTAGGCAAGAATAGCCGCAGCGAACTAGTTTCGACAGCATGCCCTGACCCACACCAGCAGAATTTGCGGCTGGCTTCCGATGGGACAAGCCCTATTGAGCAGTATAGAGCAGGGGTTTTTTTGAGCGCAAGGGTTCCAATTCATTTTGATCATTGTTTCTGTCTCTGTCTTGTATGGAATGGGACAGCCTTAAACATGAATGCCCTCCTGAATTCATAGAGTTATAACTGTGAAATGATAAGACCCCTTTTTCCATTCCTATGTCTGATCACCCACATCACAGACTTCTACCAAACTTGACCCTAAGCAGGGTTCCAGCAAAAGAGGAGAAAATGGCATGAAAATAGAGTTACCTTGAGATAGCCAGCGATTGCTTTTACCAGCTCGTCAAAGCCATACTTATGAGCGGCTTTGTAAATTTCCATTACATGTCCCATCTCACATCCATCCATAGAGAGCTTGCCAGTGTAGATATACCTTCAAAACGCTAAGAACGCTAAGAACCTCACTGTCACTGATGGTACTCTCTATGAAAGAAGTGACTATTACGCTTTTTCCAAAGGTGATTCAAAAAGTCTCGAACGATAGCAAAGAATTTTAGCTCTTACGATCCTCATCAGTACTGGCTGCGATTATTTGGAATTTCCTCGGGACAGAGAGCTGGAAACCTTTGGCCGAGAAGGTCGAGGTTCTTCGAGTAATAAATACATAAAACACAACAGGAGGCATTTCCTAGGCTCAAGGATCGAGGGTGAACGATGGGAAAAGGACTCTACCCTATCGCTGACCCAACATTTGTTTTGGATAAAAACTGTATTAAGCCAGTTATTAGAGTTGAAGTACAGTGAAGTCGTTGACTCTGACTGATCCAAATGCCTGTCCCATGGCTAAATTCCCCTGCGGGTAACTTGTCGAATTTGTTCACATCTCCGGTGGAAAAGTAGCTGCAGGAAAATACTACACGATACTCCGTCTCTAAGACTAGTGGCTAGAGACTAGGAATAGATGGTTCGACGGCTCCGCGAGCCAGTAGTGGTGCTTGGAATCGGCATTGAGCCAGGGATAGGACTAACCTTGAGGATGTGAGGTGCAACGGGACAAACGAAACCTGACTTCCAGTGAAAAGTTGTACAGAAGACAAATTTTTAGGAAATCCCGCTGAGAGATGGTAGACAAGGGCGCAGTGGGTGGCCCCTGCAACTACGACGACGTTATTCGGCTGCAGAACACCGAAATGAAGCTACGAAAGACAAGTAACAGTAATATACCTTACAAAGAGTTGAATAAAATGGAAAATGGGAAAGGATTCGCTGAATTTTCGCCCGCCCTCCATGTTTTTGCAGTCTGC